TCTTTTGATACTGTTGAATGTTAAGAATGATATAAACAATAAACAGGTTTTAGAATTTTATTATGTATCGCTATTCTTAAATAAATCCTTCATCCCACACTAAACGTGCGTGTCAGAAAAATGTGTAAAATAAAATAAGTGAGAAGAGAAATCGATGAACTTGACTTTTTTTAACAGCGAGGATGTTTTGTCGTAGGAGAAAAAAGAAACACGCGAGTTGTAAATCATATAATATATAAGAGTAATATTTCGAAATAAAAGATTCATGTATAGAATACGTTATTTCTTTTTTTAAAAAATAGAAATGTATAAAATTATTTTTAACAAAAATATTTATAACAAGATAATTATAAGTCTTTCATTTTAGTCATGTCATTGCAGTAGTATTGCTAGTAATAATTGTTATATCACGTTACATTAATATGCAAATTATATAATATACGAAATTATAGAGTAATATTTCGAAATAAAAGATTCATGTATAGAATACATTATTTTTTTTTTTTTTTTAATAGAAATGTATAAAATTATTTTTAAGAAAAATATTTATAACAAGATAATTATAAGTCTTTCATTTTAGTCACGTCATTGCAGTAGTATTTCTAATAATAATTATTATATTAGAATAACAAAGAACAAAGGGATGAATTACAAAATCCTCAACAATCTTACCTGCTTCTTTCTAATACAACAACCATGTCATGTTCAACCTACACGTTCAAAATCACTTTGTCAATTTCAATTTTCCCATTCTCACTTGCATAACGAATAAGTTATTTAACAAACACACACACAATTCCATCGGTCGTCTTTTAACTTGAATTTGTCCTCAACAAGTGAATAATTACTATTCCGTCATATTCGCTAAACAAGATCTCTCCATTTGATTTGTTCATCAGACTGTTGCCGACAAAATGGTAAAACTCGACGAACAAACCGATGAAAGTGGATGATGTGATGATTCTCAACGTCTGTTCACGTTTCTCATGTAAATGTCGGTACACAAAGATTATCGTGATGTAATTGCGCATCTGGCACGGGCATATTGTCGACGCGCGCCGATATCGTGTGTTGGAAAACGTGTTGGAAGAAAACCAAACGCCATTTCGTTGACGTTTCTGCAATTTCACGCAACTTTTTCACCACGATTCGCGGCTATGCAAATTAACTGTGCAATTATCGCCGCGCAGTCTTACGGCGCCGGTGAAATTAAGTCCTCTACTCTTCTATGTATCTTGCAAATTGACAGAATGTTGATGTTACGTGCGTTCGCGCGGATAAACGCGGTCGTGCAACGTTTCGTTGAAATATACAACTGTCTGCAATTATTGGGACATACGTATATAATGAGACACATCGACTTGCGAATTAATTCAATAAAAATCATCATTGCGTTAGTGTTGCGTTTATTCGTAATTCTTTCCGATTAATTTATACAGGATGACCGAGTTTATAAATTTATAAATTCGATCTATAATCTATAAACCGTTCACTTCTTATCTGGATCAATTTTTTATATAATAGATAGTTTACCAATAATTCGCAGTTACATAAATCGAAATCAGACACTCTGTATTGCCGAATTTTATTTTTTAATACGAAGACTATGGAAAAAAATTCCAAGGAATTTCATATTTTTTCATCATTATGCCTTCTGCTTAAATTCTGCAATTCGATGAAATTTAAAGAAATTGAAATATCTACAATCTCACGGTAGATTATTACTTGGTCCTTGATGAAATATGTAAAATATTATAAAGTATTAAAAACACATAATATATGTGCAGAGATAATATATGTGGTGAATATGAAAAATAACTATCGTCATAAATTTGATCAACAAGAAAATATAATTTTAGAAATGATGTAGAGAAACATTATGCGATAGCTAATAAAATTCTGCTCGAAGAAATCACTTTCAATGTATCATTCTTAAATGATGCAAAAATTCGAATCCACCTTTTCTAGATTTCGTCATCTTGAATCATCGTGTTCAATTTTATATATATGGAAACTACTTATTGCAACAGCAATGGATTTTATGTTTTTATCTTATATAGAAGTAACTTGAATTAAGGACTCGATAGGGGTTTTATTATGGCAAAAAAGAAGAAAAGAAATTAAAAAAAATTCTATTATTCTCAGCTAACAATAAATAAGTAATTGCAACTATTAATGTAGCACTAATGTAGTGTGTTACGCTATTTCAACTGAGGATACATTTATTCGACCTTGACTAGACACCCGTAATGAAAATTACAACATTCATCGATCTTAATGTAAAAAAGTGATTAATTGATTACAGATCTCTCAAAACATAGATATTCGTCAAATTTCATCATGTTCTCAAATTAAGAATCCATGACATTTAATGTTTGATTAAAATAAATATCTCTCCGCAAAAATTAAACAAAGAAAACTAATTATATATGATGATATGTAAATAATTATTAAACCAGTTAATTTCAAAGCATGTATTTTCTGTAATTAAATTATCTAATTTTTCATATTTATCCAATATATTTTTTAAAAATCGATAATGAACCTCTCAAAGTGCATCAGACGTGCAACTTCTAAAAATTAATAGTGAACATGATAGGATTTCAAAGTCTGACTAACATCCCATAAAGTATTGAAACTGATGGAGATATATTCATTGAATATTTTCTACGTATTAAACTCTTGACAATTCGAATTACACATATGGACAAGCGTGACTCTCCATTACATGACAGAAGACATTAAAGTAACATTCAATAATGAATTGGACATCTGCGCATTTGCATACTAACAGACTACCGCATGGAAAATTAAATCTAATAGATGGAAAAAAGATACAGCATTATAGATATTCACTCGGGTTCTTCTAACACGCAATGGTATATTTAAACATTACGTAAAATCAAAGTTGTTTCATTGTTTGAACTGCAACAAGATCAGGAAGGATAGAACGCGATTTCCGGTAGTTATCTTCACTGGTAAATTTTACAATTTTATTTCTTTATTTTTATATTTTTGTATTGTATCCCACTAGAAATACGCATTTTTTAGATACAGTGAAATAAACATCTTCTCCTTCTTTTCACATATTCTTCTTCTCCTTCATTTCCTGACATCGATGACATAGCACACATAAATTATCAATCCTGACAATAAGATAGTTAACAATCTTGGTAAACGAAAGAAAAACATCTGGAAACATTGCAATAAATTTAATGAGACATCATAATTGAGCTTTAGTGAAATATGCGTACTTTAAGTGCCATCTTTAAGTTCAATCTGATTAACTTATTTCTGAAAAATTTATTTATTCACTTGTACTTCTAATAAGAATAATCCAATATCAATAACAAATTTTAAAGGAATAAATCCAAAGTAAACTGACTTCAAACATTCTGTGACCGTGTTTGGTTACAGTCGGTCATTTACCTGAAATCTTTTACGTTCAATCTTTTGGTTGAGCATAAAAAAAACGCAGAACGTAAAAATTTAATTAAATGACTCAAAAGAGCAAAACGAATTCACACGTTATCGATATTCTGCCACAGAAATTTTCTTTAATAAAACTTATACCTTCATTCATAAATATATGTAATATATTTTCTAAGAAATATTAAGATAAAACAGCATGCTTATAACGGCCAATATAAAACAAGTTACATAATGGAAGAGAAGGTCACAAGAAGAGCGAAAAGAAAGATTAATCACACAAATTTTTGATATCACCGATTTACGACCTTGTCAAAAACCTGCTTTGAACACTGGCCACCAAAGTGGTTTATGAATGGAGGCATATACAAGGTGTCCCGTATTTTAGTGTTCAAACTTTGTCTAGTGTGTTCTATAAGCTAATATCATGTAGCAAAAGATGCATTACAAAGTTGTGAAACGTAATAAAAGTATAAAACATAAAGCTGTATACATTTATGTATGCATTTCGAAATATCGTTCCACGTTATCAGTGCAAAGTTGATATCAAAGAGGTGTTGAAATTATCACGAACTGAATTCTTGTCTTATCCTGCATTAAAATAAGAGAATGAGCATTGAACGTACGTATTTATCATATTTTAATCTTACGTTTACTTATGGAACACACTGACAAAGCTTAAATGCTAAAATGCTAGGAACGCCCTGTATATTTTCCCTACCTTTTTTCTTCGAGGCGAGAAAACAAGAAAAACAGTCGTGCAACATAAATTTCGATACCGAAGCATTCACGGAAGGAAAGGAAAGGGAAAAAGAAGTGAAGGGAAGGAGAGAAGACGCGAGAAGACGCCTGAAGACGCGCTAGCCGGGAGGCATCTCCTCCGTATCTTCTTCTGAAATGGCAAGGTCACCGGTAATTACGTCACCAACTTTCCTCGGCTCTTCTCGATGCGCGTACAACGCCGAGAAAAGCAAATGTCACAATTACCAAGGACGCTCAGCCTCGTGTACCGATGCCTCGAGGCTTCCATTTCGACGACCAAACGAGCCCAACCGGGGGTAAAAATTACCTGGTTCGCAGATTCGGCTTTCACATTCGGCTGTTCGCCATAGGTAACCACGATTTCTACGCTTTTGTGCTCGATCTCCCGAGTCTCCCGAGGATCATCCCGATTACGAAATCGCTAATATCTTGTAAGTGGCTGTTTCACGTCTCGTCTTCAGCGAAAGGAAAAAAAGAAGAATTGCTGTTACGAGTGACCCTTCAGTTTCTCGTAATACTACGATTTTTTTTTTTTTTTTTAATGTCGATTAATCTTCATCTGTCACTTTGTCACATTTTTCTCGCCAAACATTATATTATTTTGCAGTATGTACGTTACAAATATGGGGATATATTTTTATTGAATCTGTGTATTGTATGTAATGTATTATATATAACTAAATGATAAATATATTTACACTTAATTAAATGAGAATTGTATTTGTAATTAATCTAAAACTTTAGTGCATAATGTACTAAAAACAAATACATCATTTAGCTAATCCATTAAGGATTAAATTTGACTCAGTCTAATTGCACCATTAAATTCTGTTTTCTATTAAAAAATTATTGATTCTGAAATTATAAAATTCTTAATGAGTAAACATAAGATGTTGATGTTGATTTCTTGTTGCATTTAACAGAGTTATTGTGATCTAAACATAGATGAACTTGACGTGACTCGACTCACATACTCTGTGTGAACAAGAACTATCGTTTCATAGACAGAGAGGCAAAAGGTCCTTGGCATTGCTGATGAAGTTTCTACAGCAAAGTCCAGCTCAAAGATACGGTTCATTGTAATATCTGAATGGCACGGATAGTAGATGTACAAATGCCATTTTCTACGGAGAATCCATTTGCCGAATGAGCAAGCAACCGATTTCATTAAATAGTCGCATCATTCAGAACTGCAAGTGAAAAGTGAAAAAATCTGTTAGCATATTCTTTCGTTAATTCGTCATTTCCTAATAATAATAATAATTTATTAAGAACGTTTAATGCTTGCACAATTAAATTGTTATTAAATTCAAGTATTGCTTCTGCAAAGTAAAAGACATTTTAATTATTTCTGGCACAACGAGTAATGTATCATGAATGTTTCATTAGAAGAGAAAAAATATTTTTACTCGATAAAAAGAAACTTACGTTACGGAAATTAATATTGCATAGTTAACATTATAAAATAAAGTTTTTTTATGAATGAAACGTATGAACATTTATTACAAATGACAAATAAAATCAATCTGAAAAAATTAGAAATGCATTGAATTTATATAACTGAGAAAATCGTAAGGAAAACGACCTTTGTCAAATTTAGACTTAATGTATTCTATTAGTCAGTAGCTAAATTCACAACGTGATGGAATTAATTAACATTGTTTAATATTACGTTTGAATTGATAATAATAATGACTCTTAAAGAATTTTCTTATTTTTATATTAATTATTCATATTTTTATATAATTTATATTATTCATTTGTAATAAATATAAATTACATAATAATTTAACTGTTAGAAAATATGTTCAAATATTATAGTATATTTATCATAGACCTCTTTTCAACATGCTCTTCAAGTTTTACATCGTCCAGACATCATTTCCATTCACATTTCCATCAAATAATGCCAATTTTCTTCTATTATTTCCATACCCGACCCAAGGATCACACCTGTAATATACGAAGACATCAGTTAAACATTAAACATGCAAATAATACCTTATTAAACAAGGAGCGAATAGTTACTCACATGTAACAAAGATACTAAATCGTGTTTAACATGTATTCACGTGGATCAATGGTGACCTATGATAAACATCAGCAATCTATCTATTTCTATTCTGTGAATAAATATTTTCTTCCTCTATTGTTTAAACAATGTAAATAAAAAGAAACAAAAATTAAGATATTATTCATACAGATTGATATAATTTTTAATACTAGAAGTAAAAGAATAATTAAAATAAAAGATTCTAATCTGTTATACATCGAGTGTATTTTACAAACAATCCAGCATAATATAACATTTCGCTGATTTTAAACTGTTAAAAAATAATAAATACTGAATACCAAACTCAAACATTTAAATTATTCATGTGTTTCTTTAATAAATAAATAATAGGGTATCCTATAACGAACGACTTTGCAACGAACGAATAACGAAAAAAGTTCTATAGCAATTTAATTCGTTATAAGAACATAACATTTTAATATTACGTTTTTTCATTTAATATTTCAATATTATTCATTGAAATATAATTCTCTATATATACATAGATCGAAGAACAAGATCTATAATATCTATATGCTAAAACTCCTATGAAAACATCCAACTTTCTTACGGCGCGACGTGTATTTAACATCTCAAGCAAACAACGCCGGTCAAAGAATGCAAACGCTCCTTCAGAGGAGAGACACTTGCATCGTGTAAGTAGTTGCATCGCGGATGCATCCTAGCATCGTTAGGGGAGAGACTGATCCGCGAATCTCCGGCAACTCTAATCCCAGGTGGGGATGCAACACCCGTGATTTTCCAACTATATAAAGGCAGATGCACCGTGGATCCTTGGTATATCACGTATCGGTCGTCATTTAAGGACAAAGGGACAGTTAAGTCCACTTCGCACGAAGAAGTCTCTCGCCATGAAGACGGTGGGTTACGCGTTTGCATCTACAAACAAGAAGAATTCGTTCGGTTAGGCGTTGCGTGAATCCGTTTCGCGTTCTCTCTCGTTCGCTCTCAGTCAGAGAAGCAGTCAATGATTTCGGCCGCAGACACCGAAACTTTTTTTTTCTTTTTCTTTTTTCTTTTTTTTTTTTNTTTTTTTTACGTAACAGTGAAAGTGAAGAGGACTGTGACACTTGCGCGTGTGGCGATGTTATTACGCACCGATGATCAATCATAATTTCACCGTGAAACGATAACGGCCCGTTACGAATCTTGAGAAACGGACTTCAAGTTGGGAATTCACGTTCTGTTCGTTAAAGTCGTTCGTTAGTTCCGATTGTGATACGCAGTCTTATGCTTTTCGCAACTGAGGACATTTCTGTAAAAAGAAAATGACGAATGATTGAAAAATTGCGCCAGAAGTTTCAGTTTCAGTTTTTCCATGTTTGAATTGTTAATTGCGTGAAGTATTGAGACGAAATTTTTGGAGGATATTTTTAGACATATGACAGTTAAAAAAGACAATTTACCGAAAAAGGGCTCGTGGGTCTACAGACACATGTTTTTTTCAAAAACATCCTCAGTTTAACATTCCATTACATGTGTACCGATGTAATTTACGCGTTGTACGTTATAAATAAGATATACCTCGGAACATGAAATTCTCCTCAAGATTCGTTGTAATTAGAATAACTCAAGTGATAGAAGAATGAAAGAGATAGTAGAGAATTGTTAAAAAGGTCCGGGTTCGAGTCTTGACCAAACATACCAATCGGACGATTACATGCTGGTTACATAATGAAATCGTCGAGACGTCTTCGATAGTAGTGACGAGAAATTGGACACAGATACATTATGCTCCAACATTCTTGTTTTTTAACACTAAAATTACCAAAATGATCAAAATAAGTAGTTCTTTAATGTTTTTAACGTTTTAAATAAAACCTTGCGTTCTTTGTTGTATCATAAATATCTTCTTATTTCTTGCACTTTTATTTGTCTGACATAAGTTTTATACTTTAGTCATCCATAGACCTAGTGTTAAAACACAATTTTATTGGAATAACATTTTGAATTGCAATATATTAATTTCTACAGATCATACTACAATATTGTATAGTCATAAATTAGTTTTAAAATTGAAAGAAGTAGAAACTAATTTTCATACTAATCATACTTCCAAATATTATATGAAATTACTGAAAAAAAATTATAGTTTTAATAAAAATTGAATATTTCTATATAATGAAAATTGGTAATAGTTAAAATAGAGTAATGTTGAGCAATCTTTGTTTATACAGATCCTTATCTTCGTGACAGCGATAGTGGGAGCACTCGCTGCACCCCAAGCTAATCCAAATGAAATCACAATAATAAAGCAGGAGGAGCAGGACAATATAGGTGTAGGTGGATATCACTTCAGTTACGAACAGAGCGATGGCCAAAAGAGGGAAGAAACTGCGGAATTGAAAAATGAAGGAACTGACGACGAGTTCCTCGACGTTACTGGTAGCTTCTCTTTTACAGCGCCAGATGGTCACACTTATAGGTAAAAAAAAAGCATTATAAATTAGTATATACTTCCATACAACATGAAAAAATTATATAAAGTTATATTAAATTAAATTATATATAATTGTACAAAGCTACTTGTCAGTTGCCACATTAATACATTATTCACACAATAATACACTAATACACTTTTTCAGAAGAGAACATCATTTTCAAAATTATTAGAGAATTATTTTCATTACTAAAATTTTAGAATAACACATTTACATTTACATCATTCTAATAAAATTTTTAATATAATTAAAATTATCGATTTCATTTGCAAAATTCTCCATTTCTTATTTATGCGTTATTTAACAATATTATTTAATAATATTATGAATATATAATATTTAACAATATTATGAATATGATCCAATAACGCTTATAATGTGTCCTGGATCCTCTTGCAAAATATTATAACAATCGATAATATTACCAAATTAACAACTTATAAAAATGAATAACTTATAAAAATAAAATTTCATTAATATTATTAATTTCAATTCCACAAGACTAGATTGAATGTCGAAAATATATCTCTTTGCTCTAATAATTATTAGAGGTATATCAAGTGTATAATTATTTGATTAAAGGGTCGATTACAAGGCTGACAAGGATGGATTTCACCCAACCATTAATCTCGTTTCGAAATAGAAAAATCTAAAAACTGAAGTTCCGCGCTATCCTTATCTAGGACTTTCCGACCATCGACAAATGCTAGTATAAGTGTATTAAAATATTATATACGTATTTTAAAATCGCGTGGCACGTGATTCACTGTTCAATAAGATCATTCTCGAAAGTGTTGTATTTGTTTTGTTCAGCATTATATATTATTTTTTTGTTCACTGCTAAAATACATTCGTTTCTTTTTTATTTTTATTAGTATCAAAATTACGATAATAGTAATACAAATCATCAAAGGTGCATAAAGTAAAATGATTGTTCTATAATAATCAAATTCAATGAAAGTTTGAAAAGAACAATGAAATTAGAAAAAGAATTAATTTTTAATAGCAAATAATATTATAAAATCTGTAAAAAAATTGAATACCATAATAAATGCGATTAGAATATTCATTAAAGTAATGGTCTAATCTCTAAAATAAAGAAGAATAGATAAAGAAATGTCCATACAAATGTTCATTTATGTAATACAAAATAATTACGACAGTGACATATTCTAATTGCATTTATGGAACGCGTGCCAATGCATCCAAACAAGTTATTTTAAATAGTTCAGAGAAACTATTGATAAACATTTTGAACAAGAGGCGTTAAAAGTTCTATTCACGATCCATTGTGAAAGAGGCGACGACGAATCACTCATTTACACATTTTAGAATTTGTGTAAAAATGAGTAATTTTTTATACTTTTACTGTATGTATGTAACAAAACATCAATTGTGCAAATAAATATATACACAAATTAACATGTATGCGTTATAAATTTTTTACCTTTATAAATATAAATATATGCAACGACACATGATATTGACAATTTTCTTTTCATCATATGATCAATTTTAAGGATTAAAAAGTAAGAAAATGAAAAAAATTGATGGCTGACTGAATTTTATTTTTAATGTTTAATGATAAAGTATAAAATAAAATTTTTGTACAGAAAAATAAAAATTTTGAAATATAAAATTATTATGATTTGTTGGCAGTAATATTGTAGTATAGCAATTATTATAATAGTACTTGTGTATACATATATATTTTTCTGATAATATACTTGATAGCTGATATAATATACTATTATTTTCTTATTTACAATCTATAATATTTGCTGCTATTTAAGCATTGTAGATGTAATCTATAATAAAGCTGCTATTTAAGCATTGTAGATGTAATCTACCGTATAAATTTTAATCATATACAATTTTTTTATATAATCATATCAATTCATTATAATGCATTATAACAAATGAATGAATATTTTAAATCTTATACAATTTTTTAGATTTGAATAACTAATATTTAATTTTTTTATGTATTTATATGTATTGTTTTATTTATGTATGTATTTTGTATGATGATATTTTTCTTCTATAAGGAATTAATTGAAATTATTTTATTATTGGAAAAGATACTTTTTTATCTATTCATCTCGACGAAAAGTACTTTACTAGATTACTTATTTGATTACTTAGTAATTATTTGATTGAAATTATACTAAATCTAAAAGATTTTTTTGCTTTTTATTATTAATATTCGTATTATTAATTTTTAGCAAAGAATTTTTTTTCATGATTCATCAAATTTATAATATAAAAATTTTTAATATAAATCATTTTCAATTAAAATTTAATTACGTTGTTCAGTATACACAAGTATATATTGCGTACGACTACATGTACGCATTATATCAATAAATAAGCGTACTTTAATACGCTATTATATTTTTATATTTTTGCATATAAACTATTATGATAATGGTCCACTCCAAGCATGTATCAAATTTAGTGTTTTATTAAGTTTCGAACACCATTCCAACCTGTCTTCTTTTGTATCAGCTGATAAAAGATGTCTAGAAATAAATGAAAATTAATTAATTTTACCATTAATCAAAGAAAATGTCTGTAAAATAGGTACCTAATTGTTGTTGTTGGTCCATTTCTAATCATAACTAAACTATCAACATCTTCAGGTTCTGCAGCTTTAGTTGTTTCAAGCAAAATGGTATTATGACGAGCACAAATATCTCGAGAAATTAATCCTACATTGGTTGTAGTAACGTCTAACACATATAACAATGAAATATGTACATTATGTTTAAAACTTAATAATGTTGTTTTTAATAATAAATTAAAGCAATAAAAAATTACTCTGTAAATCCAAAGTTCCAATTGGGGCCTTTTTTCGTTCATCATCAGGATATTTCCAATACGACAAAGTAGAGCCTTTGAGTAAACACCACCTCCGATGCCAAGCTCCGAATCCAGATACATCTTCGTACATCGTAAGAAATCCTCTATGTTCAACCGCTACCGAAAGTTCGCATGAAACATGCATTTGCAATTGACCTTCTAATGGACATTCTGATGGTACCTATAAATTGCCAATTAAAACATTAAAATTTTCATCTTGTACCAATGCTTATTATATTTACCTTATTCAGTGTGAATTGTTGTCGATGAATTTCTTTCAAACTGAAAATAACATAACCAGCTGGCTGGAAAGCTGGAGACCTAACAGCAGATGGTCCAGCTGGACTTTGCACATTAGGCATTACTAACCGACTTTCTTGTTTTAAAAATTTCTTTGGAGTTTTATTCGCCAACTACAATATATTTAAGTACACCGTAAAATATGTATAATTTTATAATGAAACTTGATAGACTTCTATACATAAATACTTGCCTTTTTATTGGAATTACTGCTATTATTACCACATGCATTGCCACTATTAATATGGTACTTAATTTCATGTGGTAAGAGTTCTGGTTGTGTCTGTAACGAATATATTTCAATAGTAATTTTAAAGTCACTATACAAATCATTTAGTTTTAGCGTTGATGGAAATCGAAGACACGAGTCTCCAGCTTCTGCTATAACTACTGGAGTAGCAACTATTTCTTCTAAGTGCCGCATCAAACAAACGAAATGAAGACACGTACCTAAGATTTAAAATTAAAAAAAATAAAATTTTTAATGGAATTTATCTTTGTCTTGTAATATTCTACTTACTAGGTCCCATTTTACGGAAATAATGTCGTTTAAGAGGTAAAGTAATAGCGGACACTGTTAAAGAACCACTTTCTTGTACTTCTGGCGATCCAGGAATAACAGGTTTTAAAGAACCTTCTACTTTCAATCGTTGAACTTCATTTAGTGCAGCTTGTCTTCTATGAGCTTTAATAGAAAATATATATTTTATGATATTTAGCTAGTATATAATTCACGAAAATATTTATATTAAAAAACTAGATAATAACTGGCAACAAGCAACAATCTCTCTCCTTCAACCTGTTCTCTGGAACCATTGAATTCCACAGTAGAAGTACACAAATTCAATGCCTGACTTGCTTGACCAATAATTGTCTGCTGTTTGCATACTTCATCTAATAATCGTTTCACTTTTTCTTTTACTAAAATTGCTTCACTTTTAGTATCAAGTTTTGTCGTGTCAGAAATAGGATTAGTTGACTCTTTTGTTCTGGATATTATACGTACTGGTGTTTTTGGTGTCTAATATAATTTGAAGATTTAAAAAATTTTATTTTAAATTATAAGATTATTATATTTATATAACTTACTTGAGATTGTTGTCGTCTATAAAAACTGACACTACGTAATAATGGTTCACAATTTTCTCCATCTACAATATAAGAGTCTTCCTTTTTAGGAGATGTTGAAAAAACTTTTTTTATGGGTGAACGATAAGATGATCTTAAAAGATTAGTAAATAATTTCAATCATTGCAAGTATATTACATTAATATTTAATTATCATTTTTTCTACCTTACCCTTCATTGCGTTTGAAACTTATTGAAGTCGTTGATGGGTTTTTACCAGCTTTATTTAACTTAGGAGGAGTTGGTCCCTCTTCTATATAAGAGTTCTCATTATATCCATCTTGTGATGTAAGACATTCATCTAAATATTCGTCCATTTCATCCAATACTGAAATATCGGAAGTTGTACTATCTGGATCTGGATCAATCGATCTCTATAATTGTATCATTGAAATATTACGATAATAAATAAATATAACTTTATTATCATATATTGAATAAGTATTAATTCGAAATATTTATTATACCTTTTTGTTCAGGAAAGATTTTTCATTAACAACATGTAAAATACTTCCAAGACTAGTATTCATGTTTCCAGTTTCTTCTTCACTGTCAGTTTCACTTTCATTATCCTAAATTAAAATCAATATGTACTAATATCATATTTATATTTTTAAAAATAACTTACCTCCACACAATATTCAGCCTCTGTAGCAGTTTCTGTCTCTGTAGCAGTTTCCTCATCTAAAGTAGCAGTCTCTGCTTCTGTACTGTTAACTGTATCCGTTTCTGTTTCTGTACTATTTTCAATTTCGAAAAGATTAGGATAGATATATCCAGGTTTAGGTGGAGCAACACGAATGCGTTTAATATCAGACGCTGCTTTTGTTTGTTGTGTTGTTTTTGTTGAACTACTTACAACTTTGAAATAAGACATTAAAATGAACTACAAATAAAAAAATTTATAAATATATAATATTTATGTACATAATTTATACCTTGTCTTTTAATTGGTGAATTTTTATTCTGATTTAAGATTAATTTCTCCCTAGAAATCTGTGATTGTGGAGGAGGTGGCGGAGGTGGTGGTGCACTGTGATCCTATAAAAATAATATTTAACATATTCAGTATTTTCCATTAGAAATATATTTGAAAACAACATAAAAATACATATTTGTATACAGGCGCTGGCGTTGGTTTTACTGGACAAACTGGAGAATTTTTAGGCGAATTTGATTTTCCTTCACTACTTTCACTTGTTCTAATACATGAACCAGCAGCTGCTTGTACCATTTCTTTATTTCTATTAAAACGAGAGCGTAACACATCTAATTCACGTTGTCGTTCCAGATAAGTGTTATGTAAAATATTATTTTCTAACTCTTGCACATTTAAACCTTGTTCAAATTTTTCTCGCTGAACATTAACAGCATTATTAGGAATATCAGTTTTAAGTTGTTCCTTTGCTGTAACGGAATCGAAATATCGAACTGTTATAGTTAAATAATAATAATCCATATGTTTATGTAATTGATTTTTAAAGATACCTCTACTATTTGGATGTATTGTCGACGAACTATTATCTTTTTCTTGTAATTTTTTTGGAGGTATGGACATAGCAAGAGGTGCCTTGGGTAATAATGGTGCTTCTCCTTTATTTTTCTCAAAAAGTGCCATTCGCTCAGAAAGTGTCATTTGAGTAGGATCTTTCTCTTTTGCTTTAGTTTCTGTATTCTTAGATTCAAATAAGGAAGCTTTGCTTAATACTGAACCTGGACTAGACTGAGCAGGACTTTTAGGAGAGCCATTATAACCAAATCTAGGTGTCAATCGATTATTATTGCTTGGTGTTATATTTCTTGATGTTTTTTCTGGAGTATTAGAATTTTTGTTATCAGTATATTTTGATAAATTTTCTTTTTTATCCTGTTTCTCTTTGCAAATTACTGTTTGTTGATTTTGCCGAAGATGTTTAGGTGGTGAATTCAAAGAACCCTCATCTTTTCTCTGAGAACAAGTCTTATAGTCATATACAAGGCGACTATCGCTTTGTGTACGACTAAAGCCTTGAGCCTCCTGTAAATAGTATTTTAATCTAACAGATTCAATTATTTGAAATGAATTTTTTCCTTTATCTTGAATACAATTATTAGTATGAAAAAAAAATAAAAAAGTTAAATACTATAAATATAGTTATCTTTTTTTCTAATGTGTATATATTACTTCACAGAAAACTTTTGGAAAGCTTTAGACATATACAATAAAAAAATTATATACAGAAATAGTATATACTTACTATTAATAGAAATTACTTACTAGTGTTTCCAATATAGTTTTATCCCATTTCAATTGTTTTGTAGGAGATTGTTCTTTCTTAGAACTAGTACCTTTACTATATCTATTTCCCTTGTTATATCCACTTGTGCTTGGTTGTGGCTCTGGGATAGATTTTACTTGTTCATTTAACTTTGCTTGTATTCTGTCTGCTTTACTATTTGCTGGTTTGGTCTATAAATGATACATGCTAAATTATTAATTGTCTGAAATATATTAATTAATAAATAATGTACAAACTATGGATAATTTATTTACCAAAGTTGGGTGTGAAAGATCATCTTCCCAGTTATTAATTGTTGAAGCAAGAGCTGCTAATTTATCAAGTCTAGCTCCTCGTTTGGTTGATTTTTGTTGAATAACTTCTTCTTCTGCATTAAATTTTTCTTCTGTTCGATGAATAGGAGAACTTAATTGTTTACTACTGTCATCTGTTAAAAAAAGAAAGAGAATATGTTGGATGATGTGTTATGTTATAAATTGCACTCCATATATTTATAAAAAATATATATAATTATTTAAAATAAGAATATATTGATACTTTCAAATTAATTCAATATAAAATATAACATAACTCTCTAACAAAACAGTTGGGTTTACCACATATACACTATATGGAATAAGTATATATATATATAAAAGTAAAGTAGTGGAAGAAACCAGTTTGAATCAAGTTGTGTGGGTGTATTATACAATGTGACTTACCAGAATACAGTTCGCCAAGCCTCTGTAATTTTGACTTCACATTGCATAGTCCAGTGTTTCCATTTCCTTTGTTTGTATTCTGATTATTTTCATTAGTAACATTTTTAGACAAAGATTTTCGTGGAGACTTTGCTGAAGATATGTCCTCAGTTGATACTTTAACAGGAGATTTGGTTGGTGTTTTAGTTTTGGAAACTTAAAATTAAAAAGATTTTTTTTGTTTAAAGCTGTATTTCACAATGTTATAAAAAGAAATTATCAGAACTTTATTTTATTCTAAATAAAAATAAATATAAAAAGATAATATATTAGATACTGATACCTGCAACTTGAGCTAAAATGGTATTTGCATCTTTTAAAGGACTACGCCTTTTTTTTATATCATGTCCTGCATTTGATAGTTGAGTATCTAATTTTTCTCTCCTTGCTCTGGCACGCTCCAACATTCTCTGTACAATTAAATCAATTTACTATTACTCCAAAATGTTGATAGATAGAAGTCATTTACTTATTAATATTAATATTATTTCGTCATTTAGAACTTCATTACAATTATAAAAAAATTAATCATGAAATTATTAAAAAAAAAATGTGTTAAAAACTAACAAATAATACATGTAGTATAAAAAATATTAAGAAAAAAATCATAATATTTTAAATAATATTAAATAATATTTTAATTAACAAATATTTACAATAGTATTTGAATTCTCTCGCTCACTCTACTGCTGTATTTTCGCATTGTAATTGAACAAAAAATCTTACCTGAGTGAAAGGATCCATGGTTGTATGATAAACAGAACTATCCAAATTCCAACCGACGTTTTATAATTACTTTTAGAACATCAACCAAGTATATTTTTTAAGTTTACTATGCTAAATTTACTAAAATCGACGAGATGAATTATTGAAAGAAATAGAATACTTTTTTTATTACGCACATATAAGAGTCACTTTCAACGGTTGAATTTAAACACAACCGCCATAGTAATCAAACAGTAATCTACAAATGACAGCTCTTACTTTCAAACGCTTTTTCAATAATTATTATATGACAATACAAATTCACGATGAATGTTTATCGTTTTAATGACAATGATTTTATGCAGTGAAAGTAATGCAGTATATGAAAAATGTTTTGCACAATTCAAATGACAAGAAGCGTCATCGAGAACTCAACCGAAGATCTTCATGGGATTGGAGCAACTGCAAAGCTATAAACATCATTAAACCAGTGCCTGAAGAGGGGTGGCGTACGTTTGCGTAGGATTTGAAATGGAGGCTTCCCATTGGTCGATAAAATAAAAAGATGTTTGCACGGCAAAAACTTCTTTTTTTAACTTGGCATTTTTTGTATCTTGTAAAATTCAGCTTTATTCAGCTTTTTTGAACATTAGAAACTAATATGCATAAATAAAAGCAGATAGCAATCGATAAAAAAAGGTTTTTTTATTAAACTGTTACATGTCATGCTTCGTTGAATGAACTTTAAGACTTTTGTGCTTATTTTTATATTGTTTAAAATTTTACGAGTTTAATCTCATAGAAATATGCCACATTTTATGAAGCTTTATCTCTCAAACGTGAGATGATTCATCTCCAGTATCAGCTGCCATAGCTTCACGATTTTCATACGCCCAAAACCCGTGGAATTCTATCAAAATACTGACCATTGTATCACCCTGTCCACTAAAAATTACCAGTATAAAATTAAAATAAATTACAGATCTTTTGTTTTTTCCTAAAAGAATAGTATAATTCTATGCTATTTACCAAGATAATAAATCTTGTAATGTAATTTTACATGGATCTGCTGGTTTTACCATATCAAATATTTCATCTTTAACATCTTCAAAACTTACTGGTTCTTGACCATGCATTGTCATTTGTTCTTGTATGGCCTGGAAAACATATTTGATTGTTAGAACTAACAAAAACACATGCAATTTTACATAAAATACATAATATACATACACGGAAAAAATAATTAAGACAGAAGGTATCTAAATAACCACGATTATTAATATCAAGAATTCTAAATAAATAATGTAAACTTTGTGGTTCGTGTCGATTTTCCAACGCTAACACAAAGTCTAGATATGTTTTATAATCCATTTCTCCTTCATAAGTTAAACATTCTTGAAACACTCTTTCCAAAAATACTCCAGTTAACGTTCCTGTACCATACCTGTGAAAAAAATTTTGTAGAATTATCATGACTACATCCAATTTCTCGAATATTATTATTTGATTTAAATTACCCTGCAAGTTCTTCTTTGTTGAGCATTCCATTATGATCTCTATCAAGATTTAAATACTGCCCATAAACTTTAAGAGCTGATGGTGCTGAAAACCAATTTGCTTCTTGCAAGTCTTTAGGTAAATCTTCATCTCTTAATTCTAAGAGATCATCAAGAAAACTACATGCTAGAATATCCTGTATTCTAACTCTGCCAGTTCTTAGGGGATCAAGAAAAAATAAAAATTTCCTTACTGCTGTACAAACATAAAACGAATGAAATGATTTTTCAAGTCCTTCAAGCTGAGGTAATGTTGGTATTAATTCTAAAATATAGTTCTCTAAATCCTATAAAAAACAAACAATACAAATCCATGTTACTTGCAGTTGTAATTTATATTAATTTAATTAAAATATATATAATGATGACATTTACTGATTCTCTAAGGTATCCCTGACCAGTAACATCATATAAAGAAAGTCCAATTCTTGTTTGGTGTAACCAAACCTTTCTCATAACATAATTAAACAGTGCCATTATACTAATCCTACCATGAGGATCACCTTGTTGCAGTTTCGCAAATACAACTGCAGTAAAGTAAGGACTGCATTTTGTTCCAGCTAATTTACCAACTTTCTTAAAATCTTCATAATTAATTAATTGCTCTTCTCCTGATAGAGGTGGGCTATGATGTTTATCTAATAATACCCACAATGCTTTAAGTTCATTATTATCTAGCAATTGTCGTGAACGTCTTTGCAAAAATAATGCTCGTGTTTCTTCTCGTAATTTTTGTGGCAAAATTTCATCTTCCTTCGGCAGCTGAAACATACAATAAAATGTTTAAAAATAAATTACTCACGGATCTCGCATGTTTTATATGTGTACACATTACCTTAAAATAAAATTTGGGAATCACTTTATAAGTTAAATCTTTATCTTTTGCTTTGGCGCCCTTCCATTGTTCATATATCTTTTGAAAATATTCATCCTCCTTTTCTTCATTTTTTTCGAAATTTACTTCTGCTGTAAAAACTCGTGCATATCATATAACAGTAGTATTTATTAGTATATAAATATCAGTTTTAATCAATATTTACATTTATTCGTTGCTGCACATTTTCGCAGTATTGTCTCTAGCTCCATTTGTTTTTATTTTGAATAAGTCGTAACTAAGGTTAGATATAGTCATGATCTTTACACAAAAACTGCACACAAACTACATTTCACCTGATTACAATGTAAACATGATAGTGTACAATGAAATCAAATTCATTCATGAAAATTTATTCATGATATTAGTAGATATAAATACTGTTATCTGAATATGCAATTACTTTATGTATACATATATATTATCACAACTAAATTTATTAAAAAAATATATTTGAGCTGTGTACTTGTTTAATTTAACCAAAAGTTACCAAAAGTTATTCTGGATTGATTAATTAACAAGGTTCACATTTAAAACATTGATACTTAATTAATTCAATATAAAATAATATTTTTATAAATATTATTGTTTTTAAATTAAATTTCCTCAATTGTTGCATCTTGAATCCCAAAGTCTTGAGCAATTATTTTATTTCTATTTATTTCATTATATAAAGGATTTCCTTCAAATGTTATTTCTTCTAAATCTTTCAGTAATAATAAATGTTGTATTTCACTATCATTCTAAAATATAATATTTCTCATTATTAAGTACAATAGCTATTCTAATTTATTTATACTTACTGCTAAACAATTGTGAGCAATATAAAGTTTCCTTAATTTTTTAAATGATTTTGTAAATTCCAAAGATGTTAGTTTATTATTTTCAACAGATAAAAACTCTAGATTATCATTTTCAATAAAATCTTTTACATTTAATATCTCAATAGCATTGTTATCCAAAGTTAAGGATTTCAAAGTAGAACAATGAGTTATTTCTAATTAGTATAAGATTACAATGAATTATTAATATGCATAGAGTATATTAATTATTTTAATGATATAAAATATTACCATTGATATCTTGAAGATAATTATTGTTTAAAAATAGATATTTAATCACTGGTAATTTTTCTTTAGTAATATTTATTACTGACTTGATGCAATTATGATCTAAAAATAAAGTGTATAGTTTCGAGAATATACAAATATTTTCACAATCATTGTCATTAAATGCTTCAAGACAATTGTAACTTAGACATAATGTATGTAAATACTTAAAGGAATGGAGACCACATAAAGAAGTTATTCGATTTTTACTTAGATCTAAACTTTCTAACTGTGGTAAAAGTTTTGCAGAAAGATCCACCTAATGAAAATTTGATAAATTATAGATACAAAATTTTTATTATACTATAAATAATAACATACTTTTGACAAAGAACAGTCAGTTAAACTCAATTGTATAATATTTGTAAGGTAATCTGTCTCATATATTTTATTTAATACATACTTGTCAAACTTATTCCCAAATATATACCTTGCTTCAGAAATATCAGATTTCCTTACATATTCTCCAGAAATATACTACTAAGAAAATTATAGTAAGCATAAGTATTCCTATGATATCTAAATATTTATATATTCAAAAAAACTAAACATTTTACTTACTTCAATGTTGCTCAAGTGAAATATAATAAATTTTTTATATAACGTATTTGTATTTATTGGATTATTGCAAAAATCAATAATATGCAATGTTTGCCAAGTTTTAACATTATCTATCTGTGATATATTTCTTATTTCATTATTTCCACAGTAAAATTCTTGTAATGTATGAAATGATCCCATTAATTTCAAATTTGTTATAAGATTGTCGGTTAAATCTAGATATTTCAATGTTGGAAAATTTTCCTGAGTAAAATCATTTAAGTTTGAAATAAAATTACTTCCAAGATTCAATTTAATCAGATACTTCAAAGGTTTTGTAAAAGGAAATACAGATAATAAACAACACGTAACACAAAGTTCTTGCACATTCTTTACTCTCTTCAAAATGTTTAACGCTGCAATAACATTGTGCGATATATGGATGTATCTTGTTTTTTCTACATTTTTCTTCTCTAGTAATTTTAACTCTTCCATACTTGGTGTATTGTGTTTCAAATAAATCAATTTGTTATACCTTTTATTATTTATTTTGCACATATTAAATGCACATGGATAATAACTTTGAGGTAAAATAAGATTTTCACATTTACAATTATTAATATTCTGTAATTTTGGTAAATATATGTGTAATAAGTATTCTATTAATTGAGGATCAGTAACATCATTAAAATGATTGTCATATATCTTTAGTTTGTACATATTAGACATATAAGTTTTAAAAATACTAATGCATTGAAAGCAGTGCATTAATAAGTTCCATGATATGTCTAATTCTTTTAACATAGGTAAAGTTTCTTCAACATGTAATACTCTTATATTATTAAAACTTATATTTAGTATTTGTATATTTTTCATAAACCTTGAATTTGGAAACTCATCCAATTGATTATAAGAAATGTCAAATTCTCTCAAATTAGGCAAATCTAAATCAATATCAATTGAATTTATATTTTGTTTAGAAACACATATTTTTACAAGATTGTATATTTCCACTTTTTTATCATAACTAATACATTGTTCAATATAAGAACTGGATAAACATTTAAATATTATATCATTTACAGTGCACGTAATTATGCTATTTTTATATTCTCCTTTCTGTGGAACAATTTGTAAATTATTCCTTATTAATGAAACTTTAAAATGTTGTAAAAATTATTGAAGTTAAATAGAAATAATTAAAATAATTACTTTCGTTAATTCACGCAATATATACTCATACTCTATTACGAACATAGGATTTTTTATATTTTCCTTTGTCAACTTAAATATTTGGCATATCTCATTTGAATTATTTTCATAATCTGTATATTTGATGTGCAAGCAGTCATGAACATTATCTATTCTATGTAAAAACATTATGTTTTTTATATGAAAAACATAAAAATTAACATTATTATTATTACTTTTCAGTTGAGTTGAAAACTGGTGTTTGTATAAGCACACAAACACGTATTTTTTCGCAAATATTACAAAGACTTAAGATATTTTTGTCTTTCTTTATTGAGAAAACTTTATTTAACCAATCACAGTCTGCTGCTGCCAAGCAATTAGTTACCATCATTTCTTCCTATTAATTAAAATATTTGTTACTTTATAATTTATTTTTAGGTGATATAAAATTTTATTTCTTATAACAAAAAATATATAAGTACTTCAATAAATAAGTCAGTTTGAAAAAAATTAAAAGTCCATTTCTGAATATCTGTTACCCCAGGATGAGCTAAAATTTTTAAAATCATGCAGTCGCATTCATCTGATAATAAATTTTTGTTTTTGTAAATATTTAATATATCAATTTCTTTATTGCTTACTTTTGTTACTTTATGTAATCTTAAATCTATTATACCTATGCTGTTATAATAAAAGTTATTATAAAAATTTTATTGCATAAATATTTCTACTAAATACTCTAATAATTATACTTGAAGAAGTATACTTGACTTACTCTTTCATAACTGGACATAATGATGCTTGCAAAAATTGTTTACATAACTGAATAACTGTATTTTCTGAGGTATCATTGTATTCAACAAAACTTATATTTCCACAATAATTTATATTAATTAGCAATTGCTGATGCAAAATCTGTTATAGAAAAGGTATTATCATTTAATTTCTATAAATTATTCACTTTAAATTATTAAAAGAAGAAAAAATTGAAATACTTATTATACTTTAAATTGCAACATTAGTTTTTCTCTCATTTCTTTGAGTTGCTTTTTATTTAATTCCATTTGCAACATTATATTTTCCGATTCATTATATGTTTGTATTTTTAAATAATTTTGATCATTCTGTAATAAATAGAAAATAATTTAATAATAATAATATTATTCTATATATAAAAATTAATTAAATTGAAGCATTAAATACCTTTTCAATTTCAATTGCGTATAACTGATTTTTAAAATGAAGCATTTCCTTTTCATATTTCTTGTATTTACTTTTCAATAAACTCAAATATATGTTTAATTGTTTATGAAACAATACATTGTAATATATCATTTTTTTTCTAGAAATAAAACTTAATTACTTAAATTTCAAATATTTTATTATGCTCTTAGGAGAAATTTGCCAACAAATTAAAATAAGTAAATACTTGAAAAAATAATTGATCCAACATCTTTCTTTCTCACATATTTTGTAATGATCTAATTTTTTAAGATGTGGAAGATAATTAATAGCATATATGCGATAATTGCAAAATGTTATCAAAGGACAATCTCCATATAACGGATCCGTAAATATTAATGAATTTAATTTTTGCAATTGTGATAGATATCTTATATCCTTGTAATTGAAGAAAGTATATTAATATACAAATAGAGTTTATTCAAATACTCTACATACCTTTATAAAGTATAAGGGATTTCCTGCTAAATTTAAACAACGTAGTTCAGACTTTTTCCAAGATATTTTATTTATTCTTTCTAATTTATTGTTAGCCAGATTAAGCTCTTGTAACCATGTTAATGTATCCAAATTCTATACAAATTAAATATATATTATTTAATATAAGTCTTTTACAAATACATATATTTAACAAATAAAAATTTTTATTTAAAAATAATATAAATGGCCATACCTCAAGTTTGTGTATATTGTTTCCTGCTAGGTGTAAAACATTTAAATGTAAACAAACTTCTAAATTTGGTATGTGAGATATTTCGTTGGAATACAGATAAAGTTTTTTCAATAAACAATTTTCTTTGAAGGATGGTACATCCTAAATAAGACAAACTCCAATCTATTATCGCATTGATTATAATTCAATTTGTATTTTTACCTTGATACCACATTCGACAATCCATAATTCCTGCAATTCTATTAATTGCGAAATTGCACTGAAAGAACTAATATCTCGTTGACCAATTATTATCAATGTCCGAATATTTTGCTTTGCAAATAATAATTTTTCGATCGATATAATATTAGAGTAGAACAAACACAATTCACGTTTATTATTATTTTTCTTCTTTTTGCCTAAGAATATATTTAAAAGTTGTTAAAAGTAGTCCAATCTTTTCAATGTATTTTTATTACCTTTGTTATTCACAAAATTGTCCATTATCACATTTACGATTAATCTTTATTTCCAATAGCAATTGTTTCGAATTTCATCTTTTCCTATTTAAATATATATATTCAACAATTTTTTTTAAGCAAATAAATGGAAATACATATAAAAATTGAACAGAAAAAAATAAATGTAATAATAAAAATAATTATTTACGTTGCACATTACGATTTCATTTTTTTCCTTTTTTATTTAATACTTGCATTATGTAGTTGCTACACAATTCTTGTGTCAATGTAGACAAAAAACATTATGAAATCATATAAATATATACATAGAACATTTGGAGTACCACACGATACGTAAAAATTACAAAATGTGTATCATTCTATATTAATTACAATTGAAATATTATATTTAAGCTAGGAACTAAATATAGTATTATAAAACAAAGTCAATTCTCCTATTCTTATATATTGTACAGTTATATGTAAATGTGATTATGATTATGATACCCTGTAGAACTTAGGCATTTAATATATAATACTTTTCTGGAGATGTTAAAGTTAATGAAACAAAACGATTAAATACGATCGAAATGCCTAAGCAATACATTCAAGCGTTTCCTACAAATATCAATGTTTTACGTTCGATAGATAATCAACGATGAGATTTATATACATTGTCACTTCGTAATATGTACTTTAATATAATACCTCAAAGCCATTGGGTCATAAATATATTATTTTTTTTATTCTATTTGAACTACTTGAAACATGTTGGTGATAGGAACTTGTAATTCGATTGTAATAAATTTTTCTAATGTTACAAATGTCGTTCAATTTGTAATTATTACGCATGCAAATCTCCTGTAATGAATGAAACATAGAACTGAGAGCGTTGATATTTCGCGATTGGATCGAGTCAAATTATAATCTGACCTGATTTGACTCGATGCAAATTGTTACATATATATATAAAAAACTAAATATGTGTAAAACTAACAATGAGTGTAAATGTAATTAAATTTAACATGATAATATAAAAAAGAAGACTTTATTTATGAGTCATTAGCTCCGAGGTGTATATTATCAAAATGAGGAAATAAAAATTAAAAATGCATTGCAAAAGTGTCTATGATATTTTTATGTATCTCATATGACTACAGTTGAAGCATCTACCATGGTGAAATATATTTAAAATATGATAATTCAAGAGTTTTTAACAACTGTGAAGTTTATATTGAATACTGTATCTAATTCGTATGAATGTACAAAAAAACTTCTGGACTCTGCAACTAAGCATTCGTCAACAATCTCCTTTATTATGACTTTTAAAAAAGTTCTTTAATTATATCTACTTACCTCCTTGTACAAAGTTGGTCGAACGGACCTGTGCAAAAATTTCTTTCATTTTTTTTTTTTTTTTTGGACACCAACACACGATAGACCAAATGTCATTTCGTATTGAGCGCTCAGATTTAATTTCATATCTTTTCGTATTTTCATGACAAAGTTGTATAAATGTAATGTTTCGTATGCGGATTTAATAAGTGTATGAAAGTGAATGAGAGAAAGTTTCTTATTGTATGTAGCCATTTAAAGATCTCATATTCTTAGGCCCGCAGATACCGCCAGATTCTTTGCTTGTTCAGTTGTTTGTGGCATTATTTTTAAACCCTGTATTTAATTACAGTTACAGAAATAAAGAAAACGACATATGTATAAAAGAAATTGCTCGTTCAGAAAGTTCATACATGTCTGTTTTTTAGGAAAAGTATAAATATCAGTATATAAATACCTAAAACATAGTGTAAACGTAACAATAGGAAACAATATTCTAGTAACAGCAGGAAAACGATGAAATTTCACATTTTACGAAATGCGTTAAATAATGAATCCTAAATAAGAGAAGTTCACATCTTTTTATTTTGTATTATTTAATTTGTTAAAATTTGTATCAAGATATTTTACGATCTCTCACTTTACTGACATGATGAGATGATAATTTTTTGTTTCGTTTTTTTTTGTTTTTTTTTGTTTTTTTTTTTTTTTTGATTAAAAGTACTGCTTCGAAAATGTAAGACTTTTGTTTTAAATACTGTCCAAAATCTACTGTCGTATCGGTTACATTTCACACTAACACCCAGATATATGTCTATCATAAATAACCAGTGGAGCTACGGTAACTTATTTTTTGCGTTTCATTTGGTAGCAGTTTCTAAGCCGTTAGAATACATAGAAATGTCAAATGTATAACAAACTTATCGGTTGACCCATTTCTTCGCCGATTCTGTCCAGTTAGATTCATTTTCATCCTCCTTCTCTCCGTCTGCTTCTTCCCTTTCGCCTCTTTCTTGTTCTTGCTCGCTGGATGGGGTGGCCGATGGCGTTTGCGAGATATTAACATTGCGTGCGCGTAATTCAGCTAGAAAATCATTTTCTTGCTGATAACGTCGCTGAAGCTCTTCTCGCCAAGAGTTTCCGCCGCCGCTACTATCATCGCCATCCTCGCCAGCCTCGAAATCTGAAGATAAGGAAATTAAATTTACAAGTTAGTAATTGCATAAATTCAATACTTTTATAAATTATAGAAATTAATTTTTTTTATACGCGTAAATTAATTTTAATATTCTGATCCTTTGGTTTTTCTTTACGCAAAAAAGAATGCTAATATCTATAAAATTAATGTTGTATGTACGTATATACTATATCTACTTAATGAAGATGTTTAATTCTAATTAATTCTAATTAAATATTAAATGCTGGATATTTGTTTATATCGGTACTATTATTGAATATATACAACAATTGAAATTGAAATGAATTTCTACAAACGAACATATGTTACAAATATGTATAAAAATGGAAAAATAATCGAGTCAACTACTTCTAGAGGAAATGACAAAACGTAGGTTCTTAACTAGAACGAAAATGTACCTGATATTTGTAATTCGCTATTAATGCTTTACTTTTTCAAATAACAGACACCTACGTTTACCAAAATGTTTACTTAATATAGTAATTAATATATATATATATATATATATATATGTATTTATGCAAAAGAAGCATGTGACATAATTATTTACTAATGCTTGTGAGGATGTAAAAAATGACGAGAATGTTGAAAATTTGAACAAACTCTTACCTAACGGCTTTCTGATGTTAATTCGGCCAGAGTTGTGAGAATGATCCTCCTGGTCTGAGTCTGCAAGGCACCAGGATACATTCACAGGGGGTGCATCACACACATTCCACAACACGTCTAAAGTGTCATTTGTATACGAAAATATCTATCTTTTCGCCCAAAATTTTAATACTAATGGAATATTTTATAGAAATATAGAATATTATATAGAAATTGATATACTTAAATCTTAATGAAATTCTTATGTAAATGGTGTAATTATTATAATATATAATATTATATCTTTTTACTCTGAAACTTTTACAATATTTAAGACAAAAGAAATAATGAGTATAATGGTCACATGTAACAATAAAAAATGAAATGAAAAATTGTTTTTATTTTATGGTAAATGCAAGAATAGGCATTGCATAAATTGAATTTGATTCAATTGCAATTAATTTTCATATTATATTTCTAAATCATAAATAGAATTATCATTTATTTTAGAAAGAGCATTTGCTGTTTTACGTGTAGTGTAGTCTGTGCTATTTCTACACTAAAATTTGCTAAATCTATACTAAGTAAGAAAAAATAAGAGTTACAACAGGCAAATTGTGTAAAGAAAGGCAGAAACTAAATATTTACATTTGTAAATATGTTGTTAATATTGGGTAACATATATGTATAATATATATTTTAAAAACTTGCATAAAACAGTGTATAAAAATATTTTGAATTTCTAAAACAAACTTAAAAAATCAATATGAACATATTCAGATATGAATTCCCAAAGTAAAATTTTCCATTTCTTTTTTATAAATTTGCCAATTGAAATAGTTATTTAAAAATATTGTAACAAATTAATATATGTACATAAAAAAATGATACATCATTGTTTTTGTAAATATTAAATACGATACGTAATTATTTATTTTGCATATAAATACTTATAAATACTTATAAAAATCATTTTCCAAAGAATATTAAAACTTGAATATAGTTTGATTTATATTTCGTTTTAATATAAATACATGATGTATAAATTGTATTTACCTTGCATTGCATGTTTAGATCCATAATAAATTTATAAAATTTTGTTCACTAAAAATGGGTAGGGAAATGCATTATTACATGCTATAAAATCTAACGATGTGATAGAAGAAAAATACTGCCAAACATGCCTGTTTACACTAATATGAACAACAATATGAGAAAAAGATGTACATGTATGTACGAAAAACATTTACTTGAAACAAGTTATTTTGTATTACCATAAATTTTTCTTATGATCAAGTGATTATTCAAAATAACATGAACGAAACAAGAACATACAATACTGATAGGAACTTTTAATATCTCAATATTTTAATTACTCACAAATATCTTTCCATTAATGAATTTACGTAACAGTACGTTAGCTTTAAACGTATGAGATTATATGAATTAATTGTTACCTCCTCGAGTTGGCTATAAATTTTTTAATTTTATAGGGGCTTATGATTTCTATATCTTACACCTAATCCAAATATACAGTTATCGTAGGCCTAAAATGATAGCTAGATACAAGTTTTTGTGCCAGTTTGAACTACCAAAGTATTTTGCATTCATTTCTGATGCAAAGTATGTTAAAATTTGTAATACAACATACCCGAATTCAATTCCCTCACGAGTGTCGACATGGCATTAGTAACACTGTCAGCAGCTACCAATAAGTCATTTCGTAAGGATCGGCCCAAGCTATTATTCGCACTGCTGGAACCACTTCCTGGCAAGCTGTTTGTCCTGAACGCAGACCTGACATCGAAAATCTCTATTTTCTTTGCATAAAGCGACTTCGAAATAAAAACTAAGTCAAGGTCGTGACATGCCACGCTTATCGTGCAAGCATCTAGGGATGACAATTTTTCATGTGTCTTTACAATGAAATCAAATGTCAGAATATTCGCAAACCTTAAATTAACAGTAGACTAGCAAAAACATGCATTATGAAAGTTTTATAAAATAAATTTTATTTCTTTAAATTTATAATATGTGTCTTTTGTGTTTTAATCATTATTTTTCACATGTTACTTCTTGAAGTTTCAGATATTTATGTCTAATGTTCTTTATTGCAACACTTTATTCTAATTTTTGAAAAATATAATTCTAACTTCGACGAAATTTTAGATATTATTAAATTACCTATATAATTAAACTTATTAAGTAAATATATCTTGTAGACTTCATAAGAATACCTTAAAAATATAGATGAGAGAATATGTACGACTAAAACTAAAAGATAGTTAATACGTAAAACTATTTTAATTTATTAAAAAAAAATAATATTGGAAATAATTGTACAATTCTATATAAAAGAAAGTATAACAACATTTTTCTAATATACAGTAAAACATTTCAACATGCTCTTTAAGACACATTAATATCAGTTGTTGCATTCTATATAAATACACATGCCTGTAATATTTCACAAATTAACTGCAATGAAAGAAAATTAAGATATAATCAATAACATAAAACTATAAAAATTCAATAGAGCCTAAAAGCATCTCAAAATAGCAAAAAGCAAGGACTTATAAGTATAATAATCTTTTAACAAAATTGCAATCAAAATTTATAACATAATCAATGTAGGAATATTTTAAAATATAAAAATTGATTATTCAACTAGTACCAAACTTATTCCTGTTACTAGCTGATCAATAGAACATTCTCATTAATATTTGCATGCAACAATCAAAGGTGTGAAAACTGTGCTGATTCTTTGCGTAAAGTGCAGCTATGATCTCATTATAACTAGCACTGTGTATTTAGAAGAAATCAATTTTAAATAAATGTATATAAAATAGAAAGAGGCATAATAAGTAGTGTTATTTTTTTAAAATTATAAATATGCTGTAAAATATGACTAATTTCTTCATACAACTTAAACATAACTTCTTAAAATTATATAATAATGACTGTTTTATATATGGCGTAAAGTGTACAATAAATGTCGGCAATACATAAAATTTTGTTATTTTTCATATAAAAGTAATTTCCTTCAATATTTAAATATGTTAGAGATCTTTAATACGTATAAATGATTCTTATATAAGAACTCGACAAATCTATCAACATGAAATAGTACTAAAAAAATATTAACAGAAAGAAGAAACGAATTTTTCTTCTTTTTATAAATATGGTATGCATTTAAAATTGATCAATGTATATCTAAATATTTCTTCAAACATAATTCTCAGCTAAATTCAAGAATACGATTTTTAAATCATTCTATAGTATAATAAAACAGTATTTTATACAATGATTGTAATTTTTTGTTTTTCTTTTGCTGCCTTGTGTCTTTCTATCTTTGATTATTTTTTTATTGATTTCTAACAGATTTTTCATATGCCCGCCTACCTTACGTCGCCTCCAACACATGATAAGTTATCTGGAATAGGATTTTGTATTGTTCCCAGCATGGTATTATTGGTTACATTCGCCACTGATGTTGTTGGAACGGGATTCTGATAGCTTTGAGACATTTGTTGTTGACTTTGGGATTGCTGCTGCTGCTGCTGTTGTTGTTGCTGTTGTTGTTGTGGTGTTGTAGAAAGTGGACCACCTGGAGTTGGCGGAGCTGATCTACTACTTGGTACTGCACCAGGAGGTAAAGGTGGTGATTTTGTACTTCGTGGTGAACTATTTGGTGTTGATCTTGGAGATGCTTGGTGATTCTATAATAATGCAAAATTTTGAGTATTAATGTTATGGTTAATGTAATGATAACAAAATTGAAATATTAAAAGAACAATTGTAAATTTTTCTTGAAACAATACCTTTAACATTTTCATTAAACCTTCCAGCTGCACCATTAATTGCCTTCTAGAATCTTGTAATGTTGCTAAATGAGTTTCTAATTCGTCTTTTCTTTGCCTCAAGGCTCTTAGTTCTGACATAAGTGCAGGATTTTCCAAACCAGCTGCTTCTATTTCTTGTTGTCTCCTACAGTTAAAGTCAATGTTATAAATAAATGAAAAAATGAAGTTGAAATATCTTTTGAATCAGATATTTCATTTTATTAGCTACAAGCTGAAGTAAGAATATATTATTAATGTGGTGTCTGTGTGTGAATCTAGTGAGTTTCAAAAATTATAATATTAATGTTAAATATAAACAATTTAATAATAATTTTGTATCTTCGGACGTGATAGATATATTTCAGTACTTCAAATTTATAAGTACAATGTAACATAGTGAAAACTAAGATAACTAAAGTAAGGTATAGAAACTCCAAAACAATGTGAGATTCTTAAAAAAACTAATGAAGAGAATGTTAGTTACAAGCAGGATGTTACCAATGTTAGTCATGATTTTGGATCTGATAATCTTTTTCAAGTTATTCATACAATTAGATAAATGAAATATGAATTTAATTGCGTAGAGAAAGAGAAAAATGTATTTATGTAAGTATTTATTGTTGTGATGTCTTCAGCTTTAATATTATATTCTACGCAACCAAAGTGATCGAAGCGAAACAGAATGTCCTTTTTAACATGCATGATCCTAGGATGGTTCGACAGGATGATCTCGAGGTTTAGGCTTGATATAAAGGAAATAAACGACACAGGTATACCTTAACCTTGCAATCTCGCGCATTATTTCCTTGTTCTTTGCCTCTAATTGCGATATAAGTTCGCGTTGTGCCCTCGAGGCATCTAACGATGCCAAGTTAGCATCAGACGGTGCCCTACCCTGTAACATAAAAATTTTTTATCAAATAATTTATAAAAATGAGAGGATGAATGGTACATGGATAATTATTATTTATATAAATTAATGTAAATTTTGCATACTTACTGCTTGGTCAGCTTGCGACAGTCTGGATGCTGCACGAGGCTGTGTAGTTATGAAATTAAAATTAGTCACACAAAGTCACGATTCAGCTGAACGTTTAATTACGTTTGTTGCTCTAATTTGCTAACAACCAGGGACTCCGCGTAAAGTTTCATGCTTTCGTCATAAACTACATCAAACAACATTTATTAAATATTCCCACAAATTTTAACATAAGAAATTAAACTACTTGTTAGAGCAACTTCGTACAAATTGTATAAACAATTTTGTAAATTATACTTTTTTTACATAAACAATAAGTTATAATTGTTAAGACAAAGTATTAAACATGTACCCGTATAGTTGTAGAAAAGTAAACAACAAACATTAAACGTTAGTTATTTTAGAATAAATGAGATATCTTACCATAGTCCTAGCTTCCTGAGCCAACCTTTGTGCGTATCGTGCTATTAATTTATGTTCATCATCCAGTCTTGAACTATCCATACTGTACAATGTATGAATAAAAAAAAATATAAAAAAAAAATAAATAAAATTGTGACTTGTTACGTGCACGTTTAGTATAAGCTGTGCAATTTGGATTTGTTTTCACGCTCACCTCCTTAAAGTAGAACGACTGTCCATCGATCCGGAATCAAAGGGAGCCATAAAACCTGGATCTGGAAAACCGTTGTGAGATGGTAAAGGTGATGGCGGGCTGCAATGCAGGGAATTTATTTTCAATTGAAGAATCGCGCTCGTGTCGACGGCTATGCATATCATACGAGTATAATCATAGCACTCACACTATGTGTGATAAATCTAACGTCTTTTCGGGCTGTTCCGGAAATCTTGGTAAACTATTTTTCCCTTTCTCAGGTACGCATCTGAAGCTCTTCCGTAAGGAATGACCGATTTGTTTGCTCGGCGATTTCTACAGAACAAACAGGAGAAGATTGGTGTCACGTCAAAGATACGCGTTATTATTTATTCATGAAAATGTTTGGAACTTCTGAGAGTTCTGTCCAACACGTACAAAACTACTGTACTCCCTCGTTTCATGATCGTTATTATGTGTCCCAGAAACTTTGCCGCGCCAAAAACAATCTTGGCAAAGCTGGTACGAGTGGCATTTCTGACATCTATATCGGAAACCGGTGAAGTTCTCTTTATGACACGCGTCACACATGACGGGATGGGCCACTGAAAAGTTACGCATGAAAAACTCATTTATACGTACATGTATGCATTATGTTTCTTCATGTGAAAATTAGACAACAGAAAATTCAGTGAAAGCCATTCTATATTATACTCCAAGAAGAAATCTCAATAGATTCGTTTATGATAGAATATTTATGTATCTATTCATATTTAGTTTATATATTCTGTTGAAATATTTGCTAGATGAAGATGAAACATGACAATTCGTTTACTTAAAGCATATATGATCATCAAATAAATCTATATTCCGGAAGATATTGAACTTAGATATTTTTCTGTATATTATACTCTAATGTCCAAAAAATCGAACTATGTAATTAGCTTTTTTAATTTTGGCCTAATTTTAAGACTGGATAATCACCTGTTTCAACAGCAGCCATCCTATGATACAATGGAAGCCAAATTAAACAGTGTGGTCCTGGATCAGACATAAGCGTATCCAAAAAATCGTTAACCGTGACTTTTGAATTCTGAAACACGGTGTGATACCCAGCGATACTCATTTCACAAGTCACATTAAGTTGAAAGAAGTTTTCCAATTACTTCTAGTATACAAACCGAAGATGATTTCAATAAACTTACTTGGGGGAATATTGAATTGGCGAGACCCTCTGAGTATCCAAATGATGGCGATTCATAAACGGCAGCCGTTAACGCTAGAACTTCCTTCAAATACTCGGAGAATCTCCAGTGTATCATATGACCATTACTATCCGATATTTGTGAATATATATCTATTTGGAAAAAAGATTAGACTGAATTAACTTGAATATTACACGAGAAGAACATGATGAATCCTTTTCCCATTAATTTTCTAGATTTATTATTGATATTAAATCCTTCTATCAATGAATTCTTCCTATTTAATCATACAGTAGCATTAAAATCGGAAAATCTGTTTATCATGTCTTTCTTCTGCGAGTTAATTAGTTCATTAAAGTAACTTACATCGAAATTTGTCCATTAGTTTTCCAGCACATAACGTAGCTAACGCTACCTTCACCGAAAAAACGGATATCTTGTTATTTTCCCTAAAAATTTAGTGTTCGGTTCAATCGTCCATATGATAAATAATTAACTAAGAACATGATCAATGAATTACAATGCATTAGATTTTCAATTTAATGAAATTAATTATCTGCCTGTTTAACCCTTTGACAATGTAATAAAATGACAAATTATTTAGATAACAATTGTCTCTTCATTCTGGATATTTTTCTGCATTTTTACTATCAGAACAGCCCTCTCTCGGGCTACATTGTTAAAAGGTTAAAATATAATATTTAAAATCTATTTAAAATTCAAGATCTGTATACCCTGTAGTATAGGCAGCAAGTAACCAGTTCATCAACAGAGCGGTTGTAGCATCGACTTTGGCTTGTTGCGAGACAGGCACTCGTTTGTTAAGGGCGTGAAATAAGGAAGACAATAAAGTTTCCAACCTCGATACTCCCAACGTGCTCGATGGTTCCAACGTGTTTAAACCATTCTCTCGAAATGCTTCGATCACGTTCCATATATCCACGTTATGTACTACAGGAAATACCAAATATATAAATAAATAGAAATTCTTCAACTACGAATAATTAATTTTACACATTTCTATTTGTTAAATTTATAGTGAAATACTGTCTAAATCCATGAATGATTCCAAATCATTTATAACGAAAACTAAGGGGTCTTAACAAGGATTTCCTAGCAGAAATCTAAGAATTTTATATCTTTCTTAGTAGAACCTCATGTAGTCTGTGATACTAAGCGTTTCTTGACACCAAGTAGCGTACACTTCCTGGTGTCACATGGTTCCTCGTTCATACTAAAGATTTATAGAACTCTTTCATTCTCTGACATCAAGAGTCCAGTAACATAGTAAGTGAATTATTAGAATCTCACATAGTCCGTGATATTAAGCGCTTTCTGACACCAAGTAACATACGTTTCCTGGTGTCAAGTGATTCATACCAAGGACTTTGTAGCACGTGGCTCTTTAATAGCTATAAAATATCTTCTGTGGCCATAAAATCCTGGCTTTTTATTAATAAAACTTAAAAGTCAGCAAATACAGTAAGTGGATTTATACATATACTAATTGTAAGTAGATGACAATAGATGAACTATTTAACAAGAGGTTCCTCGCGATTATTTGAATTTTAAATATTCTTAACTTTACATATAATTACAATAATTTATAATTTTGTTAATATTTAACACAATTATGACAATGTTTCTAAATGACAATTAATTTCATTTGTGTAAAAATCACATTTACTTATGCATTTTTCTCTATGTGACATAATCTATATGTTGTTGCTTTTTATGTATTCCAGACCAACTGTATTTGATATTTCTATCTATTCTCTATTCTTTTATCCGAGATACTACTCACAATGAACTTTCTTCTGAATGAATCGCAACTTGCATGCAGTTCGGTATGAAGCAAATCGAATGCTATCAAAATTTTGCTGCCGCATTTCTTGCAGCAGTTGCAATCGACTCGCCTCCCCCGTGCTGCTATTTCCCGACCCTCCTGCGCCATCCTCCGCCATTTTATCTGAAATGTATAATAAAAATCAAATGAAATTACGTTTAAATAATTAATATAATAAATTAATAATTAATAATTTAAATATTCAATGTTATAATTAACTTGTACAGAAAGATATAGATGAAAGTGAGGCAGTGAAATCGTAAATTAAGGCATTAAATTAATTAAACAATTAATTAACAATTGATCTAGCTGATATAGCTGCATAAGTAATTTTTGAAGTCAATTTTTATACTACGGTTATAAAATTGGAGCAATTACTTAAACCAATTTTACAGTTTCACTACGTCATTTCTATTTATCACACATTTTCTAATAATATGATTCACTGTTTTAGAAATTACACACGCGTAGCATCAGGTTCTTCTCTCATAAGATCATCGAAATCACTGCGAGCCTAGTCTATGCGCATAGCTCGAGCATGCAAGGAACAAGTTATACGCGAAACGAAGGCCGTTCGTCGATTAGTCATCGATGCTCGTTAACTCGATTGATAATAACAAAAAACTTGCTCGTTAAACTTCCAACAGAATTTTTAGCTACTAATTTAGAAGTTTTCGAAGTAGAAATATTCGAGGCAAAGATGAAACAGAATTCTTCAGGTATACCGTAAGAAATTAGGAAGCTGTTGGTAATTAACGACACTACAGGTTTAATTAACGATAATTAATCATACTATAAGATATGCTGCGTCTCACAACTACACATTCACCTAAAAACTAAGTAATATCGCTATGTTTCAAATCATATCGAGAGGCAATGCTATTTCTTTTCAAATTACGTTAACTGAGAAAGGAAAAAATGTTTTAAAGCTAGTTTATTCTCTTGTTTCATAAAATGTGAAACCAGCATGACGAAATACTTCATTATACAGAAACTACGAGGACAAAATATAATAAAACGAAATTGTAACAGAAACTTGGTATTCAATCGTTGTTATCAATAAACCTAACTATTCTATATTTCAATCTATATGTCCTCTAATCAGATTTTATCGGACGTGCCTGGTGCTTGTATAAGAATTGAAATTTTTTAAGTAATCCTATTATTGTGGCATGCGGTGTATCGTGTATCGTATTGAAATTCACTTGCGAGCATTCGGCAAATCCGAAGAACGCACGACGTTTATTCGCGGGCAATTAAGCACCTACGTGGGTACCGAGAGTGCAGCCTTTTAGTCAGTTATTTAAATGTCAGAGAGTAATCAATAAAAGCCACGTTTCTTCGTTCGTTATTGCGCCTACGGTGAACATTCTCAAGGGTTCCGAGGGCATTCAAGGTATCCGCAGAATGCGCGACCACTATTTGCTACGGCGTGCTTCATTGTGCCGTTGATTAGTTTCAGTCCATTCTGATGAACCAAGCATCGCGCGATTAATTCGATGCTATTAAGATCAGGAATCGCGTCGAAGCTGTGGTACCATGGCGAAGCTAATAGCTATAGCGAGTCACAGACAGTCATACAACATTCATCATTTTAAGAAAGAGAAAGACAATGATACGTACGGATAATTTTCAATTTTAATTCAAAATGATCGTACTTGTTTTGTTTCGAACTATGTGTTTGGTGTTTGCAAAGAAATTCTTTGTGGCAGTATATTGTTCTACGTATCGCTCGAATTAATACTGAATTAAATTAAATGAAAATCTACAATATACAAAATTATTAATTACAATTATTATTAATTATATTTGAATGCGTTGGGATAGAATTTAAGATCGACTGTTGTTTGCAAGTTGCGTTTGAAATAAACTAATCAAAGGATAAATGTAATTTGTCTTTAATGAACTTCAATGGCTTTGAGCTTTAAAAAAATTTTTTAAAATTGATTCGTTCAATTGATAAGATTCAGTTTATTACTTGGCACAAACAAAAAAATATATTAATTAGTCAGTGAAATGTTATTTTATCATGTAATATATGTAAATTGTTTCCTTTTTAAAATAGTAATTCCATTATGAACGTTGATTTCATGCAGATAAAATCATTAAAATAATTGAATAATATTTGCTAATTATAAATAATTGTATCTTGCAATTACCGAATGCCCTATCACGTTACGTACAATTTTCACTAAAATCATCGATCCCCTTGAAACCAGTTACATTAATTTGTTCATACAAATAACAAACGCGGACCGAGCTTGAACCAACAAAATACAATAATGTTCAATAACGAAGCTACTCGATGTATCATCGATCCTGGTTTTTATATCACAAATTGCCGCATTTCGGTGTCGATTCAATAACTTCCCGAGCCAATACTTCAATTTAAAACCTCCGAACGTTTCGTTCGTCTCGTCTATATAGTCGACCACGGAACAGGTTCGCATTGGTAACAAAGAAATCATGGAAACGGGAGAGCCCCAACGAGAAACAATTACTTTTATCGACGATATAACCGACGAAACAACGACAATCGCTCGCCAGTCGTTAAACTTAATGAAACGTGGAAACCACTCGACGACTATTTTATAATTCATGGGAGATACCGTCTCAGACGGAATCGAATTTGCAACCGAGCAATTGTAAGTAATTATGGTAGCTGGAAAGTCGCGATCGGATGTAACGACATAATTTGAATGGACGGAAGGAAGAGGGTTAAAAGCACAGACTTTATCATCACTTTATTTTTGAATTGTGCATTGAGTGTTTGAAATAACATGAAGTAACAGTATATTAAATAAATACATCTGAATATATAATTTTCAGATATGAATTTGTTGTACCTGTTCGATATTAAATTTCTAGACTTTTGATCATTTTCTTGAACAATCAAAGGGTTAATTCGGTTCGACATTGAAAATTTACGACTGACTCATCGTTGTAACCAAAAATGAGAACGAGTATCTAACAAATGATTCTTTATCAGTATCTCCAAATATATTCGAAGTATTTTCGAATATTTGAGTATTTTCGAAAACGAAAACAATAGTTTCGAACTGGACTCGAGCGTCGATGGAAAAAAATGCGACGTCGAAAATTTTTCGATTGGACGAAGAGTGTTGCATTCACACACAGAGAAACAGAAACGTTTCTCTTCGCTATATGCATTTTATCGATGTATGTCAAACTACTTATATCGTCAAACTACTTATGAATATTTCAAAAACCTGCAAGTATTCATTCAACCTGCAAGTTTCAAAGTTCGAAACAAGCTTGGTCACGAATATGCCACGAGTATACTTATCGAAACATTTACTTACTTTCGAGTAATGTCCGGAACCCATGAAACAATAATTGGATATCGAGCTTGACTAGAATTCTATACTAGAATCTAAGTTGGCAACTTGGATTTAGATCCCTGAACTCTAACTGCGATTTAAGCTGCTCTTTGGAGGCTAATTCTTTGTATAAGTTGTACTTCCTCAGTCTCTCGAGTTACGATTTTTCGTAGTTTCGTGGATGGCGAATGATTATCTCGCCGAGAACTTTCTTCCATCGTTCCTTAGCGCACAACAAAACGGGAAATCGATGTGAGAAGCGACTCGTCGGCTGTTGTCCGACAAAATGGAACGGAGACAGGTGCATTTAGAATGAAAAGTGCCGGCAGGAAGGGAAATCGAGTGAAAGAACGGAGGGGGTGGGAAAAAAGGTTCGAGCATCACTATGCTCCGAGAGAGACTCTGGATGCGTCTCGGTTGCTTCTGCTGTCGAGTATTTTCGCGGATTACTCCGTTGGTAAACTCGCGACTCTGGTGAAATACGATCCGGAAGCATCTTTGAATCCGTCTGGAATATTTCGCTGAAACGCTGATTTACATTCAAGTCTATTTAACTAAAGCATTCGAGCTTGTGAACTTAGTTAACACATACGCGTGGATGATATCTTCGTGTGTAAAATAGAAAGTTTTCCACGAAGAAAATGTAAGAGCAATTTGCATCCTGATATTATCAAGTTTTAATTCTTTTGTTAAATAACAATGGACATTCTGATAAGACTCAGAATGAATTCTTCATTTATGGAAGAGAAGTTGTGACTGACGATTCGAACAAAATTTGTATCTCGCCATTTAATATAGTTCAGACGAATAGAGCTCCGTGAGAAAAAAGAAATCGGATTTAGGTTTTAAGAGGAGACTTCGATTTTAAATCTTCATCGCGAAACATTTGAATTTTCACAATTATCCGAGAATAAAAACATGCTTTTCCACTCTTAGAACGAAAACGAGTGGATTCTTTCTTTCACAAAGTTACAATCAAATCAATAAATAATCATTATTAAATAAATTATACAAAATTAATTCAACCATTAAAAAGAAATTTAGAATATTAAATTAAAAAATTTTATTTTTTCGATGACCAAATTCATAATTTATTCTAATCGATAATAACAATCCCAAAATATCGACTAACTTTTCAATCATGCTCCTCGCCGCTGCAGCGAGATCCTACTTGATTCGGGGGTTGATAAAAATCATCGTTTATCTTCGATCTTGTTGCACGAGCGTGCGACCACGAGGACGGAATAAATCGTAACAATCGTCGTCGTTTGTTCGCCGCGCGGCGTAATTCATAAAATCGTGCCATCGCGATGGCCCGTTTTCTGTCATTACGAAACTCCGTTCCTGTGCCATTGTTGCCCGTGCTCGCCCGGGGGCGAATCACCGCTAAAGTTCATCAGTCGTGACGATGCGAACGCGCAAAACTAGCGGGAAAACTAGCGAACGAGAGAGCGAACCGTGAAAGAAAATCGAACATTCGTTCCTCGGAACGGCTAATAAGCGTGAAATTCCAGAGGCGCATGAAAGTTGTGCACACATGTAGTTGCGTGAACCGGTTATGTAACTGATCGGCGAAGTGGTAAATTACTGCTTCGCAGAGGAATCTTTTTACATCAGAAGAATTTCGCATTAATCATTTTATCTGTTGCTACGTCATTACGACGGTCAGATGAAACCGATAGTCTTGGTTGGAACGTTGGTTAACACGAGAATTACGTCTCCGAGATTTTTCTTTTTCGTCCATTGACAGCTGATGCTTTTGATAAAATTAACATTTGGTGT